GAAGCGGAAGCCGAGGAAGGTCCGGGGCCTGAAGACGAGAAATTCGTCATCACAGCCCCGGTGAAGCGTATGATACACAAAGTTCACGTGAACTTAGCTCACCCCCACAAAGACGTCTTTCTTAAAATACTCAAGGCGGCCCAGGCGAAGCCGGAGGTTTTGCGATACGTCCGGGACGAGTTCACGTGCGGGGACAGCCAGGCCCATTCCAGGACGGCCGCTAGTCGGCCAGCCGCGGTCCCGAAGACGTTTGAGTTTAACAAAATCATCGCCCTTGACACGTTTTTCCTTACGTTCAAGGACCAACAGCTGGCCTTTCTCAACGTTATATGTCACGGGGCAAACTTTCAGGTTGTGGAGCTCTACGACGGCACGGCTCTCGGCGCTTGGCGAGCGTCCATGCGTGCCTGGGTAAGACCTTTCGGCCCGCCAGTGTTCGCCATCACAGATGGCGGTCCCGAGTTCAAGGGACAGTTCGAGAGGGGGGTGGGACATTTAGGGATATTTCACCATATCACGGACTCCGAGAGCCCCTGGCCGAACGGCAGGGCTGAAAGGCACGGAGGATGGGTGAAAGAAATTATGCTCAAAGCCTCCGAGACGACCCTCGTCACCACGGTGCCGGAACTCGAAACACTGGTTCACGAGGTCACCGCGGCCAAGAACAGATACCTGCACCGGGGGGGTTTCACTCCCTATCAACTCGTTTTCGGGATAAACCCCAGGATTCCCAACGATATATTGGCCGACGATCCGATTCAGGTCGTTGGAGTTGAGGATTTATCTCCCGGGTCCTGGGACCGAGACACCGCGTCAGCGGAGTTTGCGAGGCGAGATGCCATTCGCCGGCATGCTCGCAAGGAGCTGTTTGAGAGTTCTAGTTTAAAGAAGTTGGCCAGCGCTGCCAAGGCGCCCACCCATCGGGACAAGCATTTTGCGCCGGGGCAATGGGTCTACGTGCGGCGCAGAGCGCCACAGGGGGGACAAAAGACCTACGCCTTACAAAAGGACAGGTGGGTTGGCCCCGGGCTCGTCGTGATTCAAAACGGTGGGACCATATGGGTCGCAATGCGATCGAGGCTCTGGAAATGCTCGTCGGAGCAAGTCAGGCCAGCGAACACGGAAGAATCCAGGGGGGGGGAAGTTATGGCGGATCCCGCCATTCAACAGCTTCTCAGAGAGGCCCAAGTCAGTGGCCACCGAGCGGGGACCAACGTGGCCTCCGAAGGCCCTCCTCCTCCGGAAGCCTGGGACCTGGGGGGGCCCATGGAAGACGGTCCTGGAGTTGACGTTCCTGATCTGGAGAGAGACTCAGGGGCGGCCGCCGGAGAATCGCTCGAGCGATCACCTCAACCTCCTTCTGGAACGGAAGAGGACCCCCGAGGAGGCAGAGCGGGACGAGAGGGTCCAGCTCTCGAGGCTCCTCCGGGACTCTCTCCCATTCCGGAGGGAGAAGAGGTGGCTCCCTCGGATGACACCAGGGATCCCGGGCCAGGGGGAGGCTAAATGTCCAGGGAAGTCTCCTCGGATCCAGCTAACTCCGGGGTTCTGTCTCGATCTGAGTCAAGGGACTCTCTCGCACCGTCAGGCGCTGCGTCCCGCACCGCGTCGGAGAGAGACGGCGCCGCGGGCAGGGGCACGCGACGAAGACCTCCTCCTCCACCACAGGGAGAGAAGAGAGGGCGCGCCATAGAGCCGGGGGCCGCTTCCTCCGGAGAGTTGCCCGAGCCGTCTAGTGGCGCTATCGACGCGGCTCCACCCATCAATCCTCGGAGATTGAGCATAGCCGATACAGCGAGCCAACATCGCACTGCCGATTCAGACCCCGGTCGGATCTTGCGCGAGATGCAGGAAGCTGTGAGGCACAATCGACAGTTAGGCGGGCATAGATTGTCCAGGCTCACTCCAGGAGAGACTTTCCGGGGGACTCCAGCGGGTAGAGTTCAGCAGCAGATCTCAGAGTTAGAATCGGTGCCACAGCATCCTCGTACCAGACCTCGCTCATCGGGTCTTCCCTCGAGCACGGCTCTTGTGGACACCTTTGTTGCTTCAGGACCCGAGGAGGCCACTGTCGTGGCTGACGCGTTCTTTGAGGCCTGCTCCAGCAGCGGTCCGGGCCCTGGAGCCGTTTTTCAAGGCCTGGACCAGAGACTCCAGGAGGAGGGCTGGAGCGGATCCTGGATCACCTACTCCAACGGCAACGCCGATGTGGAGATAGTTCCTCACGAGTCTGGCGATTGTTCCTTCTCGCTTTTGACCAACCGGGGAGCCGAGGTCCACTACAAAAATCTGAACTCCGAGGAAAAGAAAGAGTTCGACGTTTCGGACTCGGCCGAGTGGAAGGCCATAGCTGAGGGGACTAGTGCCGTCATCGTCCATCCTCCGGACAAGGCGAAAGAGCTTGGGGGGCTTTTCCCGAGTCGAATCGTGTCCAGCCGCATGGTGAGAAGGTGGAAACCACAAGAGGGGACGTTTGCTAAACCTAAGGCTAAATCTAGGTGGTGTGTCCGTGGGCACCAAGATGAGGACACATGCGAGCTCCAGGTCTACGCCCCAACCCCCTGTATGGAAGCTCTTATGCTGTTTTTGGTGGTTGCGCTCATGTATAAATTGACGATATACATTGGCGATATCAAAAACGCGTTTTGCCAATCTGAGCCCTTGAAAAGGGCTCGCGGTCGGGTTTTCGTCGAACCATGTGACGGGGTGCCAGTGTCGCCAGGATCTCTCATCGAGCTCATAGCCCCAGTTTACGGCCTTGATGATGCCCCGTTAGCCTTTCACCGCACCGCAGCTAATTTCATGCACACTCAGGGCTTCGAGCGGACCAAGTTAGAGCCCTGCTGGTTTGTGAAGCGCTCCGACCGCGGGCTGGAGGCCCAAGTGCTCGTCGAAGTCGACGACTGGGCCATCGCGTTCAAGCCCGGGTCAGAGGATCAGTACATCAAGCCCTTCAAGTCAAGGTTTACTTTTGGGAAGATGCGTCTACTGGACGCGGAAGGGGTGGAGTACATCGGGAGGAGATTGAGGTTAGACGGGGATCGTATTCTGGTGGATCAAGAAAAATACATTTTAGAGCAACTCCAGAAGATCCCTCTGGCCCGAGGCAGGAAAGGAGACCACGGGGCCCCTCTGCTAGGAGGGGAAGTAGCAGCCTTTAGGTCCCTCGTCTATAAGCTGCAGTGGGTAGGTCGCGAGACCAGGGCAGAGGCCGCCGGCACGGCTTCCATATTAGCCACGAAGGTCAATCGCCCTTGCGTTCGCGACCTGCTCGATGCCAACAAGATGGTGGATCATCTACGCTCGACGGCCTCGCTTCCCGTCATCGTGTGGCGTTTCAAGCCGGACGGATTCGTCCTGGCGACTGCCGGCGATTGCGGTGGAGTGGGGGCGGAGGACAAAGATGGTCTGCAACATCCT